TTTGGACATGTGTCCAAAAAGCAGTGAAAATGACTTCCTTGGGCAATCTAGTGTTAATGATTTACATCCTTCCAATCGAAAAAGTGTTTAATTCCAAATATTTATCAGATGTTTCGATAGCTAATAAGTGCGACGTTATTATTCCTAGTATGAAACTGCTCATTACTGCATTCTTTATGAAGCCAACAGTCGACATTTTTTGTGACACAGAACATTAGTCTTAAATACTGACAAGAGTAAAGAATGTTTATCTGATCGTCGGTGCGTTACACGGTTTGTCGGTTCGCTCTCCTTTACATAATTTAGCTTCCGTGAAACTCGGAGCATCGCGATATTGCGCAACGGGCGCCGTTACGTGCAGCATCGAAATATTCAGAGACAGAATTATATTGACGATTGTCTTAGTACCTCGAACCGTTGTACGAATTCATACGCAAACACGATCTTTGTTTACTAGAACCATCACGTTTGATCAGGTTCGAAACACAGTAACGATAAAAGTGAATCCTCAGCAAATCGAACGAACAACAAGCAACCCCGACGCGACAATCAATCCCCCGTGAACGTGATACGTATCGCGTACAAAGCAGAAAGAAAATAGTAGAGTTGAAGCCCTCCATTTCTGTAGGGGTCTGTCCAAGAAATCCTATCAACCGAAAGAGACGGAATCTAATTTTTTCCGTGAACCGACCACCTTTCCTGAATAAACTCCGACGTTCTCAGCTTCGAACTTTTCTTCATCGTCCCAGCCTTGCTCGCGAACGATCATTCCCGATTTAGAATATTAATTCAATTCTAAGGAAATTCATCAGCTCCGCGGTTCGTTCAAAAGTATAGCAAACAGTACCCCATTCGTCATTCTGATTTTTCTACCACCACCAAACACCACGATTTGTCTTGTCGCTCCAAACAGGAATTGATAACAATCTCACCGCACACTTTTCTAGATAAACGTACCGCGATAAAACGTCGCTATTTATTATAACTTGAATTTAGAACAGCCTACGACAATTGTACATTTCCTAAACGAATCATGACTCGACGAACACCAAGTCGTCGACTGCACCGATAAGGAAATTTGGATTAAAGGTACATTAGTTTTCCTACAAAAGGCATTGTTTGCAATCTCAGCATTCAACGTTTACGCGAATGAAATTTATTCTAAGTTGACGGTGGAACACGTTCAGCTGGTCACCTCCCGTGAAAGGGTTCGTGATCAGCAAGTGTAATGACGCTCGCATTAATATTAATATTTCGGCTCTGAACAGAGCGACCGTTTGTTCATCAATATTTGCTTGATCGCGCGGGAGTAGGTTGTTTACTAACGTTTATCGTTTCCCTCCACGATTTTAATCCCATTTCAACAGCGTCCATTTAAAAGAGGGCCCGATGTTACTATGAAACATTGGCTTTTACTACACGGGCATTGAATCGAAATCTATTCATGATTTATTTCTCATCACCGTCTCTCCGCTCTGTTACTTTTTAATACGGCTTAAAATGCAACTACCGCTGAATGATTCAAACGGCCATTCCAGATTCAATCAGACTTACGAAACGTTTTGACATTCGTTGTGGTTGTTAAACGTGCATGAATATTTGAGGCGTTCGCGCTTTTTCATTGATGGCATTTCAACCGAGGCCTCTCCCCGATAAATTCGGGCGTCGGGTAAAGGCCGCCCGCTAATAAATATATGATTCGCCGAGGGAGGGACCAGGCAATATGGGATCTCGTTTGATAGTCTACGAGTATCCACCGCCGGCTGGAAGTTAGATACAGTTTATAATCCCCGGTGTATGTACGTGCAATTTTAGATCACGGCCCGAGTCCGGTGGTAATTATATTTAACGAGAACGTAAATAATGCCGGTTAAATCACCGTAAACTTTCTAACGAGCCGATGAAACTGTCGCGTTATTTAATCGACGTTAACTACCCGACTTTGTTCCAATGCCCAAAGAAAAACAAACGTGTATCTTACATTCCAGTTTTTAGATTCATAAAAAAATTCCTCGTGAACAATAAAATATATATCCAAGGTACTTTTACATATTATAATATGATTAAATTATTTCGTTATCTGAAGTGCATTGAGTGCTTGAATCTGCAAATTTTTTTATAACGAAGTATCACTGCTATTCCATATATTACCATAGACACTGCATACAATGCATGATTGTATAAAATCAATTGACGTTGAAATATGTTTTAACAAAATTCCACTGTTTTATTTCGTTTTAAATTTATTACATTGTTCCATTTAAATTTAGGAAATAAAACGTAATAGACGTTTCGTATGGAAATAGATCAAGAATTGTTCCAATAAAATTGTATTCCACATCACGAATTTTCATTTTTCTTTATAAAATCTCGTTCAATTATACATTTTGCAATATACCTCAATGCTTCAAAACAATGACGTAGAGTATTTCAAGAGGTATTAATAACAGCACGATTGACATCATAGCAATTGATCAAAAATCAAATCCTGTACGATTTGTACAATATATTGGAAAAAACGAGGAATTCACTTCAGTTGTAAATCCGAAATATTGCACGATCGCAATGCCAGTTTGAACGTAGCATCCCGAGGATAAAAAACGTAACGTGAAATAAAAATTAGCATAAATGATAAGTAAAGCAAGATTCCCCTCGAAAATCGAGTTCTGTGTCGCCGCATCTTCATGGTTCATTATCCAGGGATCAAAGGATATCCGGACGTGGACGCGCGCTATCAACCGACCAGATTTCCACAGTCATTGACATAGCCAGGCTCGTCACGCGAGTTTTTGCGTAACATGCACCATGTAACACGGCGTAACATCGCTACCAACGAGCTGACCCGCGTTAAACACGTGAAACCGCGAGGCAAATCAAAGACCTTCAATTTCTGCTCGAATCGATACCAAATAGTGATAACATTAGTTTGGATTTCCATGCAGAATTAAATATTTATGTTTAAATTAACACTAGAAAGACTGAAACTTAGTATATACCTACATTGCCCAAAGCAGTCAAAATGACTTCCTTGGGCAATCTAGTGTTAAAAGAGATATAGAAATGTCCTATGCATTGCAATACGTAACACGTTTAATTATGTACTTTCTGAGTCTGATGATAATGATAATCGAGTTTGTCACAAAACTGTTTCAAAATTCTATGTAGAGAGATAGGAAGGAACATTCGTTTAGGTGAACGGTGCCTCTTTCCGTGAACTCATAATCCTACGACTTTTACTTTCGTTGAATAACTGCGCTTGCAATGTCGCGTAGAATGCTCTTCCCACTTTCTAACCATTGTAAAGAATCCTATAAGAATACAATACAGGAGCCAATAGAAGAACTCGGAAATCTGATAGATGTTAAAAACTATGTACATGCCAGATTACAAAAATCAATAAATGCATGTAATAATATAAAAATCTTAATGCTCGATGAAAGAAACTTAAAACACGTGTTTTATGTGTTATACCCTGAACGTATTATTTTGTATAAAAATCCACAGTCTAATAATTGCGATTAAAGTGGCGATTCAGACTTCTCGAAGAAGGCCAGGAGCCACCTGTCGACGATTTGTCATCGGTCCAACCATAACTGAACGAATGATTTAGTAGGGCTGCTCGAGAGCAGCGGATACGTATAATGGGCGGTATGATCTGTAATCGTGGAACCGGCCTACAATGAATGCACCCAAAGCACCTCTTCTACGTACACGTGAAGTCGTTTCACTTCCAGCTGCCATTTCGGACAATTTACGTAACCGATTATATGTATACGTCTCTGCCACTTACTTACTAACCGACCGCTCTTTCCTCGTTCCCTTTATCGTCGCGCCATCGCAACGTGTGCTTTATGTAATTAAACTTTTATTAAATCTGCTATGAAT